TTCTTCTAGAATTTTTCATAACGTCGATCATTACAGTATTTAGTATTTCCATATCGAGTAAAATACCTGACTGTATTAATTTTAAATAAATATTATTGCAAATGCCGTCCAATCGTATGTTGGACATGTGACATAGCCTCTTTCGTATTTTTTGAATTTTATTAATATAATTTTATTTAGATTTTTTTTTTTTATGTGCTAAAGTGAGGCCTTGTGACCACGTTTATTTATTTAAACTTTAATGCATTATTAAATATTTATGCGTAATCTTACCCCAATTAACCAATTGTTAATTTAATAATAGTGAAACAAAAACAATCTTAAAGTGTGCTTACAGATTTGCTGAAGCTTTCTAAGTACAGGAAAGAGGCAGTAATCAGGATAAATTCACAAATTAAATTAATTGTATATGAAATCTTGCAATTAATCAAAACGTTAACTTGAACTCGGCTGTAAAAATGTAAAATAATCGAGATTGACCAAAAGCTACCTTCACAATATGCAATTCACATCAAAATACTATCGAGTTAGCCAGTCTCAAAAGACCAGATCAGACTGGTCAAACTCAACCTCAAGTCAAAACCAAATTAAAATTATACCTTAAAATTAAAAGTCGAAACTGGTTTTTTGGCTTCGCATAGTTTCAAAACAATTGATTTCTTTATGGCTATTTGCATGTCACCTTCTTTTAATCTGTTTGCTTGCTTCTTCAGTTTGATCTCTTCTAAGGTACACTTCCCGTTGGTGCTGATGACATGTATGTAATAATCATATCAACAATTGGAAATGTATGACTTTTTTTAACAAATAAACTTTATAAATATAAATTATATTGTATTCGCCCTAAATGCTTTTGATAGATCCTTTGGACTTGGGTTAGAAGAATCTTTTCCTATTATCATTAACAATGTATGTTAAAATTAATAGTAAATTGTCAAATTATACTTTTTGTAGGCAATTTACTTTTTTCCTTGTTATTTGATTTCTTCTAGCTATAATAGATGCATATTTATTCATTAGTTGAATTTGTGCAATTAATACCAATAAATATATTCGTTGTTAAAAATGATATCTTGTTGGTTTTATCTTCATTGATATCTAAAGTTTGTGAGGTGGAGGGAGTTGGTAACCTTATCATTATTTGTAATTACTTTCTTAATCTCAATATACAGTCCCCCAAAAAAGTAATGGCAGGGTGCCTTTTATGCCATGTAATCCTTTTTATAGTGCGATCAGTTGCTGTTGGGTATTTTGATTAGTAAAGCATATTACTTCAACAAATGGAAAATTTTTCTTTAAAAGAGAACTGCAAAGTGGTTAAGAACTTGTGGCAACAAGGCTACAGAAGTCCAACACAAATCTCTCAAAAGACTAGTGTTCCTCTTTGCTCCTGTGAACAATATGTAGCTCACCTTTGCAAAAATGGCTCTGGATGTCCATGCAAAGTTCCACCAAAAATGCACCACCAAATCGGCAAAATTGTAAATTCGAATCACTTCATTACAGCAGGTGAAATCAAGGCTTGACTTGAGGAAACCCACACAGATTTTGAGGCGACTGAACAAACTATTCGTAACGAACTCTCTAGACTTGGTTATGTTGCTACTTTACCAAGACATGTCCCTCTTCTCACCAAACAAGCCAAGCAAAACCAGTTGGTATGGGCTCAAAGCCATTCACGTTACAACTGGCACAAGGTCATATTTTCTGATGAAACAACTTTGCAGATGTTTTGAAACACTTGTTTGGCTTGGTTGCACTCTGACAAACCCATTGCACCAATGGTGAAACACCCGTTTAAACTTCACATGTGGGGTGTAATTTGTGCATGTGGAAAAGTTGGAATGTGTACATTCGTGGAGAACATGGACTGACACCTCTATCAAAAAATTCTCAATGAGAATTTGTATGACAATGCAAATAGCATTGATGGGGATCAACGCTGGGTTTTCCAGCAAGATAACAATCCCAAACATACTTCAAAGGAGGTTTGTGCAGGTCTTGAATTGCATCTGCCAAAGTGGGTTTTGCCTTGGCCATCATATAGCCCAGATCTCAACCTGATTGAAAATATCTGGGCAATTCTCACATCAGGAAAATAAATCTTACATAAACCTACATAGGGCTCAGAATTGGCCAGCATTATGTTGATATTTTGGTAATTCTGTTAACATTTCCGCATAATGCTGGTCAGTTTTAAACCCTGTGTAGGTTTACGTGAGATTTATTTTCCTGATGCAAGCACAATGTAGAGAAGAGGGTCAAGGCAATGGTGGTGCAAAAATGAAATATGTCACAGGAGGCATTTATTGTGTTAGCAAGGGAGGAGTGGAATAATATACCTGATGATGTAGTGTTACTAGTATGCCAGATCGTATTTGGGCCTGCATTGATGCAGAAGGAGGACATACTAAGTACTGATTTTTTATAGGTATATCCTCTACCTAAATGTGGTCTAGATATAAAAATTTGGAAATATGTTCTTATGTAGAAAAATTTTTTATAATAAAAAAACACCCGCCATTACTTTTTTGGAGGACTGTACCTTTCCTGACTTCTGCTTCTTTCTCTTGAGTTTTTCCTTCTCAGGTTTATATAAAACATTTGCAGATTTTTCCTTGTCATTTTATTCTAAAGTGATTAATAAAAACAATTACTATCAACAAGTAAAGTTATTTAAATATTATGATAATAATTAAAAAGATCCAAACTGAATAGTTACAAAAAAGAAGCTATCAATTAAAACTAAAATATGGTTGTTTATTTATATATCACAATTACTATTTATTTAGTAATATAAATATGTAAATTCAAATTGATGTAAAAAAAAAAGAATTAACACAAATTTCCTTCTAAAAATCTATACAATAGCAATCAGTTATCAATTTAACTAATAACCATTTTTTAAAGAACCAATTGACATCAATCGGCATGACATCATTATACCTGTAATATAAGCAATGGAAGAAAGCTGTCATATTTTCAGAACCACACTAATTAAAGGAGAATTGAATGGTGTGGTGCCATGTTGCTAATTGTAGATGAAGTGGTTTTTCCATTAATTTCAATTAAATTAATGGGGTCTGATTCATTTCATTGACAGTCATTTTGCCGACACCCATTTCGTTGAAAATTATTTTGTCACAAAAAAAAAACTTCATTAAACAAATTTCTCCTCACACTCCTCACACACTCTGCTTTCCTCACCTAATTTCTTAACTAACTTCCCACACTCCTCACATCTAACTCATTTGGTCTCTAGCTTGAGGTTGAAATAATTTTCAACAAAACAAACATTCAACAAAATGAACATTCAATGAAACAAACATTCAATGAAACAAACTTTCAACAAAATGGGTGTTGATGAAATAATTTTCAACGAAGTAAACATGACTGCTTGAAAATTATACAACACAGTTACTTGAATGATTCCACTAGTGGTCTTTAGCCTATGATGATTTGCCAAGTATAAAAGATATTTTCATTTGCAAACATGAGTTTGCATCTAATTTGCACAGCAGCTGCAATAGTTAAGCATGACAAAGTTAAAAAAGTTGATAGTGAATGTGTATGTTTTATTCTTATCATTACGTTCTTGGTATTTTTCCCAGCCATAGCCATTCCAACATTCTGGACTGTTATTATTACAACTAGACATCTTTTTGATCCAATTAGCCTAGTATTCCTTACATTATTTGGGATATTGTCAGTTACAGCATTCATTTTTTTAATACTATGGCATTGTACTCCTGTGTCAATTAAAGTATTTTTGCTGGTATATTATTTCTTCCTGGGTGGTTTTATCTTCCGAATATCCTGCAAACATTATTTATTGTGTTAAAATGGCCAATCGATTTTTACTTTGTCAAAGCATGCGTGCTTATACTGGTTTATCTCTTTAACAAGAAATGTGTCCTTCTTTACAGAAGAGAAATCAGCACCTGGTGATTTTCTGGCTACATCAACAACAATTACTCAATATTCCCTGCGCTATGCAATAAATAAAAGTCTAGGGAAGGATGAAAATCAAATAATGGAAGAAGAAAAGGAAATGAAAGAATTAATGGCTGTAATGAAAGAATTGATAATGGCTGAAATGATGGATAAAAAAATAGATAAGCCACAATAATGATGATGGTAACTTCATTGAATTTAACTTCAGTTTTCTTTTAGAAAGGACTATTGTGCTGGGTGATTTCGTCACCAACAGTATACATTGCTGAGTTTCCTATTTAATAGGTTATTTAGCTCAACACACAGCCTCCTCACTGACTTACAGTTGATTCTATAGTTTGACACACAGCCTACTCGCTGACTTACGGTCAAGTTCCAATATTTATATATATATGACACACAGCCTACTTGCTGACTTACAGTCAAGTTTCCTTTATTTATATATGTATGACACACAGCCTACTTGCTGACTTACAGTCAAAGATTAATAATAAAAATAACTTTTATCTTCCTGGATAAAAGGGTCCCTAGGTTCTATGTAAATGATTATATC